TGAGATCTATAGTTCAAGATACAATGCACTTTCCTACTTTTCTTTACGTTTTCATCGAAATGTCCAGCTATTATGACAAAAAGTGCAAAAATTTAGTAAAAAATCAGCAAAATTCTCTATTGTTTGCGCATGTAAATACATGATTCCATTTGCTCAACTTTAGAATGCAATAAGAGAACCATTTGCATTGTATCTTGAACTATAGATCTCAAGTTCCTCTATCTAAATCGAAGGTCAAAATCAAAATTTCATTTAGATGACAGGTCACTTTCATGCATTCTTTTGCATGTTTCTCAAAGATAATGAGTTTTAAAAGGATTTCGGCCTATGCAATGTTGGAGAAAAAGACGTGCCCTCGTCTTCTCTTTCGATTGGCGAAAACCGCAGATTTCTAGCTGCTTGCATTCTCAAGTTATTCAAAAAACAGTGGAGCACATTCTATTTTGAAATGGATAATAGTTTTCCTTCAAACTCAAATACATAACAACAAGATGATTATTTTCAGACCATCAATTCGTTGAAGTGTGGGTGTGGGTTCAATCGAGGAGAAAAATTACATCTACACACCCACACCCACACTCACATCCTTTCGAGTTTCTAAGATATTTAAGACTTTATAGAAGGACATTTTTTGTTCACTCTCATTTAATAAAACTTTTTAGGAATTTTAATTATTCGCATAACTCGAACAAGAAAAAAATCATATAAAACTGGTTCTAATGCTGCTAAAGCTAAATAAATAATTTTAATGATAATTTCTTTTTCTCAAAAATATTTTTTTTTGCTTCCTACCATGTGTTTCAGGTTCATGTCCACTTGCTAATAATGAATCATAATGTTTTATTAAATCTTGTATTTTAATAACTCGTTTTGAATGAAGTGTATCATGTGATAACATAACAAGAAATTCAGCAATACAATAAATAAAATGCTATTCAAAAATAAACGAAACGATTAGAAATGCAACGAATTTCATCAGCTTCTAATTAATCATAATTAACCCGAATTAAAAGTAATTAAACAAGTAAATCGAGTACAGCAGCTTGAAAATCACTTTCATTTGTATTAATATATTTTTTAAGACTAATTTTTTAGTTCAATAAAAACTGTAAAATAGAAAACAAAAAAAAAGACAGAATAAATCAAATTCGTTTTTTTTGTTTATTTTACTGTCGTATTGCACTATTTTCTATGAATTGCTCACTATTTATAGTTGATACATAACGTGAACCAAATAAAATAAATTATCGGTTGTCGAAGACATATTGTATGAATATAAGTTAAAGAATTATTTAATGATACTTGTGAAGAAATATTTGAAGATTTAATAAAAACTAAATTAAAAGAATATTTTTAAATGAATGTTGTGTTAACAGAAAAAATGATTTTCAAATTTCGAATTGATAGTGTGTCTTGCAGATCGCTCACGTCAACTAGATGATTTAATATTCGAATTTCAAGATAGAACCGAATCAAAAGATCTGACACTTTCACAACAAAACTACTCTCGTTAAGATCATCGATATTCGCAAAATCAGTTTTTCTGTTACTATGACATTCTTATATTGAAATTTTCCTTCTCTAGGAAAGACCCTTTCAGAAACTTTCATTATAATATTTCCATCTAAAGTTTTATCCATAGACAAGTTTCAGACACAATACAACATCCAAAAGGTTTTAGCTTAACCAATAAACAAAGAAGATTAATAATTGAAATTTTCTTCACAATAAATATTTACTATTTAAAAGAAGTTACCTTTTGTGTACATTGAATATTGATTTAAAATAATTAAGTGTTTCTCTTCCAAATTTTTTTGATAAATCTTGTGTAGAAACAGGACTTAGAACTGATTTCATAGACAATAATGATCATTTCTGATGAATTTAATAAACTTTTATGTATTTGATATGATGAACATATTAATTCGAATAATTTCCAAAAGTACCTAATTGTGTATGATTAACTTTTTTGACTTTGTCTGTGTTTGATATAGTTGATGAATCTTTATCATTCTCTTTAAAAAGAAAAACAAATGAATTCATTCAGACGAAACATAATCAAATATATTCTTCATATCTAACACTTTGGAACTCCTTTCTTCCATGAAAACTGAAATATCAACTATATTCTGTCCAAAAGAATGATGATAAAATAGTTCAATTTTTCGAATTACTTGAATCATTGGTGCTACTTTCAAAACATTTTTTCATTTGTTGAGATTTGATAAATCTTCAAATAAAAAGAAAGAATTCAAAAAAAAAACATAATAAATATCTTTTTTTTCTCTTTACTTGAAAAGATAAAATTATTAAGATCATGTAATATAAAGGGATGTTTAAAAAAAATTATAAATAAACGAAGTTCATTATATTGATTATGAAAAAATTGGTCGAATTGTTGTTGATCTTAAAACATTTGAAAGGACATAAATATCTTCCAAACATCCAACCTATATAAAAGACAAAAATAACAAACAATTTGTATTCGAGTTGATGCTTGAACGTGTAATGAATGATGAATTTTATATATCCATTGACATGGTAAAAATGAATTGTAATCAACAAAACCTTAAAATCAAAAAAGTAACTAATAACTAACTTAATGCAATAAAATCGACTTATTCATCCGAATTCGAAAAAAGCTGCGTAGTTATTATCTCTACAAAATATATACTTAGCAAAAGTCGAAGCAGTTGCTTGACGAACACGTATATCAGGATATATTGTTTTAATTGTTTTTGTTGTTGTTCAAGATAAGTTAATATTCGAAAATCAATATCATCTATAAATTGAGCTAGACTAACCTATTTTATATACATACACAAAAAAAATATTATTATCATAAATTTCTTTTATCTACTTTAGCAAGAGTACAGGAACTTGTAGTATGTTAAATAGAATCTTTTAATAATTCAATTCCTATGATTGTAAATGCATTTAATGAAACATGTATAACACGTGCATTATTATCATTAAGACATATAACCTTGAACTGACTTGTGAATCAGTTGATACAAGTGAATATTGATTAATAAAATAATTAATAAATGAATTTGATAATGACGATAGTGTTAAAAGATGATTTGTTGTTTGAATTAATGTAACAAGTAAATTTACACATGCACCACGTAAATGTAGATCACCGTGTTCACATAAAGATAAAAGATATGTAATATCTTAAAGAAAAGAAAAAAAAAGATACCTTGATGTTCGATAAATTTTAATGTATTACAAGTCATATAGAGATGTGAATTTCATTTTTTCCTTTAGAGAATTCAATTTTAATTACAAAATTATATCTAATCAGAAATCTTCCAAGACTAAAGAAAAACTCCTTAGAGGATACAATTGATTTCATATCTCGAACTTCGGCTTAAAACTTTTTTGAGCTAGTTGTGTGATTGTATAATTTCAATCTCTGATGTATCAATGCAGGCTTTGAGCTTCAATAAAATGTTCTAGTCTTTTGTTGGTTTCAAAAAAATTAAAAATAGGAATAGGACTAGAGTTGCTGAATCAATATTCAGAAATCTCCGTTCTTGAATTTTCAGATTCCAATATATATATATATGTTTCAACAATTTAATAGTGAAATTGTCATATCTATCAGATAACTTTCACTAAAACTTTGAGACCTTAACCAATTGAAGCCACGTCAACTAAACTCTGCCACAATCCCCTTCACCTAGGCCCTCCTACTGTTACAACATTAGAAATAATTTTGGATTATAAAATAGATCTATTTTACTGAAGTGAAACTTTACAAAAAGAAGCCTCAAACAAGCATTAAACATACTTTCAGTAGGATAATTGAATCGACCAAATTGTTGATAAATACGATAGACATATTGGTATAGCACATTTAACACTAATACATGATTCATCATCACTCTTTATCATACCATCCATATAGAGTATATATCTAATCGGAAAAAAATATAATTGATTAACAAGTATAGCAGCTTATCGTTCGTTTTTCCTTATTAATCATTGAGGTTAAATCGAATTTATCATTCAATTTATTTACTAAAATATCTTGTTGTTCATTAATTTCAATAAATCAACGTTGATATGTTGAATAAGCTATTGTTTTAGAAAAAAACCAAATGAAAAAAAATTCTTGTTTTTTTTTCTCAATATTTACCTGTTTTTAAGGCTTCACTAACACAAGTTTTTTCTATAGATCCAATTTGAATTGAAATTAATAATTGATCAAAATCAAATAAATTTGAATATTTAAGTATAATTTCATGTGTTTCCAATGAACTTGATACAACATTATGATCATTATGTTGTAAAAAAATATAACATACCATATCAACACACTAAAAAAAGATTTACATTGAAATTATAATCATTCATTATTTGTTGAATACTGATTGAAAGATGTTGTTGATTTGTATCAATATTATTACTTCTATTCATTGATTGTTGATTATTGCTTGATTATGATTGAAATTCTTAGATATTTAAACCAAATAATTGAGGGTCGAGATGTGTAGGGATAAGCAATACAAACACTCACACCCACTTCTCAAAATGCCTGAGTCTTCTTAAAGCACATTCGCCATACTTTCTTCGGATGCATCTAACGAAGTTTGAGTGATAAATAGAGTTTTTCATACATCGAACGATAAAATAAAAAATATAAAATTTTTCACTTATTTATTTTGAAGCTTTCAACACTACTTCTATAATTATCAATTTCAAAAAAAATTTACGATAGAAAATATTTATATATATTAGAATAAAGTTCAAAGCCTAATGAATCATCATAACTCAAATTTACGCTTATACAAGTATCAGTGTATATTTTATCATTGTAACAACACAAAACGCAAAGGTAAGGTAAAAAAAGAAGAGGTAGAATATATGAAAAACGAAACGCATGTGATGACGAGCACATGGATGAAATAGTCATGCTTCATTGATTCATGTAAATATACGTTTGTGGGAAAAAACCAAGTAATTTTGTCAATGATAAATACAGAATAAAATCGATTGCAAGCACACAAAACAAAATTTGCTACACTCCAATATTACATAGCACGTAAGTATATTTAGTTTCTAACATTATTAGACTAGTAAGAAAATTAAAGTTAAAAGTAAAGAGTAGCTACACACAAAAAAAATGACGGTACATAAACATGTGTTATTTCTATGTTTATAAAGTAGTTTTAAGAGAACTTCGCTTGATAATACTCAGAACATGCAATCGATTGTCTTGGTTGCAGAATCTTGTATGTATAAAACAATCTTATTGTAAAACATATTAAACAGAGTAACTGTTTGTGTGCATACATTTCAACACGAGTACCAGCAATGAAAGGCACAATTTTTACTTTTAGAAATGCTCTTTTGCCGTTCTATGAACTAATGTGGACAGGTTCGATAGACAAACGACCTAGGAATGCCAAAGTTCAAGGACATTCTGGACTAGTTCAGACGTAGCTGCAGGAGTTTTCATGTCAGGATAACTAGTTAGGACAGGTATTTTCGACATTTCGGACTAGTCATGTCGTCCGTCCTCAGCGACTATTTGTTTCCTTAGTCATTCTTCTTTATTTATGGTTCGATGTATAGAGACTTGATCCATCCGTTATCGTCATTTTGTCAGTAACACTCTTGAAACAAAAATGAACCAGATAGTAGAGGTCCTTGAAGTCTGTAGGCACAAGTCAGAAAAGGAATGATGTTAACCAACAAAAAATTTAACAATTATAAATATAGGGAACTACGTTTCACTGATTATATTCATTCGTTCAATTACAATGAGCAAACAAAAGTCGACAACAACTGTTATCAGTGGTGCAGCAGCGATGCCTAGCACCACCACTATTACCAACGCGAACAATCGTGCTGCTGCTGTGTTGTCTCGACCTATGCGTCGGGTTCTTCAAAATTTCCGGCTTCTATGGCTTGATGCCAATTTCGACGAATCCAAAGACAATTATAAAATATCAACACAACATTTACGAAATATTTTAGAAACAGTGACAACATTTACAGACATTGACGAATGTATTGATTTTCTAAGTGATATTGAAAATGAAAATGTATTTATGATCATCTCTGGTGCCCTGGGACCACAAATAATACCGGTAATTCAAGAATGTTCACAGTTAGTCTCAATTTATATTTTCTGTGATAACCAATTGATTCATGAACGATGGGCCAAAACAATTGCTAAAGTAAAAGGTGTGTACACACAAATTGAACCGATTTGTGACGCATTACAAATCGATCGAAGAAATCGTGATCGAGCTATGATCTCGATAAGTTTTAATAGAATTGATCCATTATTTATGTATACACAATTGTTAAAAGAAGCACTTTTGCAAATAGAAGATGATGATGCAAAATCCATTAAGGAACTCGTTGAATACTGTCGTCTTCAAAGCGATGCTTCCGAAAAAACACTTGAAAAGATTGAAGAAGAATATCGTAATCATTCACCCATTTGGTGGTACACAGGTCCATATTTTATCTACTCAATGCTTAATTGTGGTCTTCGACAAATGGATGTCGATATTATCCTGACGATGGGCTTTTTCATCCGACATCTACATCAGCATATTACCGAACTACATCGCGAACAGAAAGGCAGCATGCCAACAAATTTTCAAGTCTTCCGTGGACAAGGTTTGTCCATTGAAGATTTCGAAAAAATGAAAAAAACCACAGGAGGACTTATGTCCTTCAATAATTTTCTGTCAACAAGTCGTAATCGTGAGATATCTTTCAACAACTTTGCACGACCAGCAGCATTTAATACAAATTCAGTTGGTATTCTCTTCGTTATGAACATTGACACGGCTATTTGCACAAAATCGTCAACATCATTTGCCGAAGTGAGCAAAGTTGGCTTTTATAACGATCAAGAAGAAGAAATACTTTTTTCAACACATGCGATTTTTCGTATCGATCGCATTGAACGACTTCACGATAATCACTGTGATCGGCTGTACGAAGTTAATCTCACTATTGTTGGTAATGACAATCATGAATTGAACACACTTACAGCACATATACGTAAGGACCTTGGTGGACGCACAGGATGGTCTCGACTTGGTTTCATACTTATTAAAGTGGGTGAGCCTGCAAAAGCAGAACAACTCTATCAGGTACTTCTCGTAAAGGCATCTTCTGATCAAGATCGAGCGGAATACAATCATCAACTTGGCTGCGTGTATGATAATATGGGCGACTACTCGAACGCACTTATATATTACGAAAAGGCACTTAATATCAACAAGAAAATTCTCCCTCCGAATCATCCCCGCTTGACTGCTTCCTACAACAACATCAGTGCTGTGTATTATAACAAGGGCGAGTACTCAAAAGCACTTTCATCGTATGAACGATCACTTGAAATCCGTAAAATAGC